CCTCTATGAGGTGGATTGATTCAGTGACTGGGGTAATCAGGATGGATATGTAAGAGGCAATGAGATTGGCACAGGATAGAGCACGGTTTAGGGCTGTTGTACATAGGGTCACTATCAGTCGCAAACGACTCAATGGTACATGACAACAAACAACAACAACATACCTTTTGAAATTATTTCACAGTTCTTAGATGTTCTGTTATATTTTTATTGTTGTTGTTGTTGTTTGGTGTCATCTAGTCATAGACGACTCATAGCGAACCTATGAACGAACAGCCTGAGCACTGTTGATACGGAGAGTTTCTGGAGGCAAGCCATTTTGGAAGTGGATGTGTTCATTTTATTTCTTTTTCTCTTTGCATGTTATTTGAAGAATTTTCTATTGATATTTCTCCAGTAGTGTCTAGTATGCTGATGATATCATCAAATCTTTTCAATTATGTTCCAGTAGGCTTTTGGTTGTGTTTTTAAATGTTTATTTTATATTGTTTTGCATACAAAATTTATATATATTATGTTTCACATTTTCCTTTGTCCACTTTGTGTTTCATATAATCATTCTCACACGTTGCTTTATAAAATTAATCACCAAGGAACTATGCCCACCATTACCCCGTCTTTTCAGATTTCTTCCAGACCTTTCCCACTCCTTCTATTCATCAAATTATGCGACCCTGTGATTTCCTCCTGCCCACCCTCACACCTCTGCTCCCATCTCTTCCCCTCTTGAATCCCCACCAAAGTTATACTACTTTTCCTTCTATTTTTACAATGATAGCCATATGCAATATTTGTCCTTATGACAGTTATGTAATTTTTTAAAAAAAATAGTTTTCCTGAGTGCTACGTAACTTGTAAAAGACTAGAGCGCATCATGGTGGGTGGACTCAGTTCTCTCTTCTTGACTTTGGGATCTACTTCTCAGAGAACATATGTGTTTCACAGCTTTTTTTATTTATAATTTAGTGTTATTATATGGCAGGCCTATGCGTGTGGTGGTTATTGTAGGAGACAGGATCTTTCTATCACCTCATTATTAAATATTAAAATTTTTAATGATCTATTTATGTGACACATTACTATCATAACTGCTGTTTTCTTTCTAGTTTTGTTTTCCTTACTTGATGACTAAAGTATAAGAATGCCTGGAGAGGAAGAACAGCCCTTTCTTAGGTGAGATAAAGGTACAGTAAAGTCCGTCTCCCAGAAATTGGTCATTGTGGTGGAAGACCTTCTGAGCATATTTGACTGTGTAATTTTTCACCTCTCTTTAACAGAACTATGATCGTATTTTAGTTATTTCTTCACTAGGAGAACAAGGTTAAAATCCTTGACCTAAATGTGTGTGTGGAAGTTACAAGAATCTAGTATTCTGGAATTTATCACTTTCAGTATTAGAGATTTAATGCTAGTCCACAGTGAACATCCAATACTTTATTAAATTAGCTTTGGAGAATTATTCCCAGATTATCTTTACCACTGGACCAATACATAATTTCATAACAAACAGAGAAAGGATCAAAGCTGTTAAGGATTTACATTTGCTTGAATCCACAATCAATATGCATGGAAGCTGCAGTTAAGAACTCAAACATCTTTGTGTTTACTTTTGGCAAACATATATAGGACAAATACACTGCCAAGGATCTCTTTAGAGTGATAAAAATGATTTTAAAGAGGGATGTCACATTAAAGGCTAAGGCATACATGATCAAAATAAGGATATTTTCAACTCATTTCTATGTATGTGAAAAGTGGACAATCAATAAGGAAGACTGAAAAATGAATTTGTGCTTTCTATCATGGCACTGGCTTATTGTTGTTAGGTGCTGTTTAATAGAGTACAACTCACAGTGACCCTATGAAAAACAGATCTAAACCCTGTCCTTTCCTGTGCCATCCTCACACTTCCTGACACATTAGAACCCATTACAGCAGTCACCGTGTCAATCCACCTCACCGAAGATCTTCTTCTTTTCCGACCCTCTACCTTTTCAAATATCGTGTCCTTCTCCAAAGAATAACCTTTCCTAGCAAAATACCTAAAGTATGTGAGGCAAAGCCTCATCATCTTTGCCTCCAAAGAGCACTCTGGCTACACCCTCTCTAAGACATGTTTATTTATTCTTTTGGCCATCCATGGGGTGTTTAGTGCTCTTCTCCAGCACCACAGTTTTAAGATGTCAAATCTTCTTCTGTCATCTTTATTTATTGTCCAGTTCTCATATGCATAGCAAGTGAATGGAAAGACCATGATCTCTTGTTTAGAGATTCTTCTTTAAAAGAGTTGGATTGTGGAAGGTAGGTTGTTTTTATTTAACAATCAAATGTAAGCCGTTTGGTCATTTTTATTTGTTTTTATAGTTACAAACGAAACTGTTAGTTTGTTTTGTTTGGAGAAAATATTGGTTTAATTGGTAAAGCACTTGTCTGTCAGTTTGTTGTACTGAGATAACTTGTGGGTTTCTGTGATACTGAAAACTATGCCACTGATGTATCAAATGCCACAAGGGTTACTAATGATGAATAAGTTTTGGTAGAGATTCTAGATTAAGACAGATTAGGAAGCAGAATTGGCCATTCACTTCTTAAATAACAGGCCTCTGAAAATTTTATAAACAGGTGAGGAATGGGGATAATTATAGTAGCAGTGGCATTGGCTAGTATTATTGAATATATCATGAACCATAAAAGGAAAGAAACCCAAATACATCTTGGAAGTATAGTCAGAGGCTTCTTACAAGCAAGGATAGTATTTTATCAGAAGGAACCAGTCCCTGGAGAACGTCATCATGTTTGTCAAAATAGAGGCTAAAGGAAAGAAGACTCCCAATGAGATGAGTTGACATAGTAATTGTAAATACATGTCTAAGGATGTCAGAGAGTTTGAAGATGACATGAGGTCATTTAGGGGTTTTGTTTGTTTGTATTTAGAGTTGTTTTGAGTTGGAAACAACTCACATATAACAAAAACAATGCTAAGTTAGGGATTAAGCCCTTTCTGTTTTAGATAAGCAGATCTTGACCATGACCCTATATTCATATTCTCTGCACATTGTATAGATATCATCTTGGATGAACAGGATAGGACAAAGTTCAGATATGTTATTCATAGGGTCGTTATGAGTTATAGTTGACTTGACAGCCTCTAACAACAACAAAACTTATTATGCACTTCTAGTTTTCCAAAAAGTCTTTGATTTTTAGGGTTTTCAGCTCACTCTTGCTGAAAGATACATTTTTTGCCATGCTGAATAGAGGAAATTAACCCAAAAAGTTAGCAGAAATGAACATAGTGAAGAGAACCAGTTCTTGCCCTAAGATAAATTATTATCTTAGGAAGCTATGGAAGTTTTAAGTAGAAATGAGGTGTTGTTCATGCCCAATTAGAAAGAACATTCTTACAGAAGTGAGTTTATCGGAAGAGAAAAAACTTAGGCACATGATTTCTCTAAATTTTATTCACAAATTAAATTCCATCAAAGACTTTTTGTGATTCTGAAGTAAATGGGCTCAAAGACTTGGAATACAGTTAGAGGAATAAAACATTAAGCTATTCTCTTGATGTCAAGAACATGTCTCTTCATAACACTTGTCCTATTCTTTTATCTTGTAATCAGTTGAGGCAGGTAATTTGGATGTTGATCTAAAAATAACCAAAGATACATTGATGACCAGTATGACTTAATAAAATTTATTACAATACAAGCTAAAATTTTCCACACCTGTGTAACGTTGAATAGTTAGTACATAAGACAATTGTTTGATGTTAAGGAGAGAGAAGAACAAAGACACTCAAAGAACAACCTGAATTTTTATGAAGCACAGGAACACTAAGGAGGAAAAATATCACTACTAAGAAAGGAAGTAAAATGTCCTCAGAGTATGGATTTTGGTCTGGGTCCTTAGCAGGATTTCTCTCTGGAACAAGTAGGTCATCAGTTGCCGGGTGCAGAGCACGATGGACGGCAAGTACTGACAATGTGGGTCAGAGGTTGACAAATATTGGAGAGAGGCCGCAGGTGACCAGAGCTGCTGGACACAATGCTAAGTGATTGAGGATTACAGGCCAAAGCACTCACAGGTCTGCATCCATAAGGAACGAGGTTCACGGGCCTGCAGCTGTTGGAGAAAGAGTTTAGTGGCCGATAGCCAGTGGAAGCACAACCCAAGGAATGGCTGCTGTAGACCAGGGGGCTCAGTGGACGACAGCTACTGGTCACATAGTTCAGAGGTCTGCAGGATACTGGCAGGCAGGAATTGGTGATAGAGGAAGATACAGGAAGAAAGCTGGTTCCTTGGCAGGGTCTGGTGACATAATAAGCAGTTGAAGGGAAGCAAGAGGCTTCACAGCTGCTAGACTCACAGTTGACTGGCTGGCAGTTGGTTGGCTCATTGCAGCTCTCTTGGCAGTTGTCCGGGAACCAGGCACTGCCTTGACAGGCACTGGGTTGGCAGATGGTCTCTCCATAACTCACATTGGTAGGAAAGAAAGCAACAGAGGAGGTGACAGGACCATGGCAGTGATTTCTGAGGGATCCAGAGCAGTAGTTTCCAGAGCTGCAGTTTCCAGAGCTGCAGTTTCCAGAGCTGTAGTTTCCAGAGCTGCAGTTTCCAGAGTAGTAGTTGCGGCAAGACATGGTGTGGTTTGCCTGGCAGGCTGTGGTTGAATAGGTAGAATCAAGTGTCTCTCAAGTTTGACTGTGACCCTCACTAGGCTTGGCCTTTATATACCCCTGGAAGCAGTGGCTGTGTATACAGACTCTCTTCTTCCTTGTTGTATGAGCTGCATCAGAACTCTTCATTATAGCCCAGGAAGTGATACTCCCCTTTCCCATAAAATGGAATGTTTCTTACACAACTTCTCCATAGATAAAGCATAATTATAAACTACATAGCTAAATTTTCAGTAGTATTTCTCCTTCTTAAATCATCTAACCAAAAAGGTATTTTAGAAGACCAGATACATATTCCAATTATAACCTTACATAAACTCTTTTAGGGTTTCTCTTACAGGATTGTCTTTAAAATGTGTTGCAGTCTTCTTTGAAACAGTGGCAAATGTTCTTTCCTTCACGGAAGATTTTATTCTTTTTCAAGATTGCCTAAAATCAGTAACATGGAAGCAAGCTATTGGAAATAAACTAGGCAAACAATCTTTCAGGTGTGAATCATGAAGAGATTAAAAGTCCTATATTTAATCTGGAAATTAGATTGTGTTTAATGTTGTATTTTGCTTTATTTCCCAATTCTAGTGCAAAGAGGAGTCTTGTAAAAAATATGTATTTAGAAAGTTTGTGTTCATTTTATTCATCTAAGTAAATAAGTTTATTGAGTCAAGCTGGAAGTTTGTGTTGGAAGTATTTTATTCAATGTTCATAGATAGGATCAGTTAAAATTGTCAGTCTCCAGTTAAACAAAACTAAGCACAAAGAATCCCTTCATGAGAGTTGAACAACATGAAATTTTTTTAGCTTATTTAATTTATGGTGTACTTATGTACCACCCTGTTTCAGAATATCCAGTAAGCCAAGTAAACACTGGCTTACTTGTGCTCATTATCTAATTTACAGTGAGCAACTTCAATTTTTTTTCTTCTCATCATATTAAAGACTTTGTTTCTAGGGATGGCTGGCAACTGTTTGTGTCTCTATCATCCCCACAGATCTTTCCTACAAAACAAAGCCTCTTCAAAAATTAACTCTTTGAGTGGGATAGAGCCAGCAGGCAATGTAACATGGTGAAAACATGTGAAATATGTTCATGACAAATTAATAAGCATGATTATGCTCATGCTTACCTAGCATATTAGGTAAAACACTCTTAATTGCAATGGAAAAAATATTGTTTATTGTCATAAATAACATGCAATGTTAAGATATAGATCCAATTTTGTGTGAGAGATGATGAGGATGACACCAGATAGGACAGATTTCAGGTCTGTTTTTGTGAGTATCCTAACAACAAGCAGACTCTGACATCAATTTCAAAAGAAGTGCCCTTAACCACATTATATGGACAATAGCTTAATAAATGCATACTTGTCCTCAATGTGGGTATTTTGAAGGCTATTTGGGAATACACTTTATTGTAAATTTTTTTGAATGTGTAATTTTCTCTTCAACTGTCCAACTTGATTTCTTATATGCCTGCATATCCTCTGGCTATCGTGCCCATTTCAGTATGAATTTTAAATTATATATTGAATCTAAGTTCCAACTCCCTTTGGCTAAAAAGTCAATTTATGGTACAAAATGTCTTCTACTTTAGTGCTGAATGGACACACCCATACTTATCAACTCTTTCTGTCCATGAGGAAAATTTATGAAGTAGAGGGTCAGTCTCTAAGGGAAAGCCAGTATATTTCAATAGAAAGATGAAGAGAAAATGATATCCTATAGTCTCTGAAGTTCTGTCCTAACATGTTGAAATCATCTCAGTATTTTAGATTGGAATCTATTACCATTTTATGATTTGCATCTAATGTATTTGAGATCCTGAGGCGTTCTTTGCCTACCTGACTCACTTTGTATGCTGCTGGTAGAGTCTTCTTGTGAAATCCTGGATAATCAGCTGAATGGCGTTAGTAATAGATAAAGCCATCTTTAACTGAATGTTTATCAAAATTACGTGTCAGTGGTTTATGCCTATTCTTTCCTAATATAAGTAAGAGCCTACACATTAAGCCTTTATGCACCAATAGATGTGTGTCTCTGTATATGTTTATGCATGATATATTTAGCACAATAAACTGAAACATGCCAAGGATCATGGATATGGTGAAGAATGGCTAATGTTTTCTTGAGTTATACATAATATTGCCATGAGTATAACTACTAGACAACTAAACAACAACAACAACAACAATAATAATAATAATAATAATAATAATAATGTATATGCATGGTGTCCCTATTGTTGGTGTTGGGTGTTGAGTTGGTTCCAACTCATAGACACTGTATGTACTATAGAACAGAAACCTGATTCTGTGCTGCCTTAATGTCAATGCTATAATTGAGCTCCTTGTTTCACCCACTGTATCAATCAATTTTTTTAGAATCTTCTTGTCCTTTTTTTAAAAAACTTGATATCCTTCTCCAGGATCTGGTCCCATCTTATAATATATCCAAATTATGTGAGACAAAGTTTTGTCATCCTGGTTCAATATAAGAAAAACAATTAATGTAATTCATCATATTAACAAAGCAAAGAACAAGAACCACATTATCCTATCAATTTATGCAGAAAAGGCCTTTGACAAAATCCAAGACCCTTCTCTGATTAAAACACTCAACAAAATAGGACTAGAGGGGAATTTCTTCAAAATGGTAAAGATATTTATGAAAACCTGAGAGCCAACATCGTTCTCAATGGAGAGAGGTTAAAGGCATTCCCTTTAAGAACAGGAAGTAGGCAAGGATGCCCACTATCACCTCTCTTATTCAATATTATATTGGACATCTTAGCGATAGTAATAAGACAAGAGAAAGATATAAGAAGTATACAAATTAGCAAAGAGGAGCTAAAATTATCTCTCTATGCAGATGATATGATAGTATACTTAGAAAACCCTAAAAACTCAGCAAGAAAACTATTGGACATAGTTGACCAATTCAGCAAAGTAGCAGGATACAAGATCAACATACAAAAATCAGTTGGATTTCTCTACAATGACAAAGAGAATACACAGTCGGAGCTAAGAAAAACAATACCCTTCACAATATTTAATGACAAGATAAAACATTTGGTAGTAAATATAACTGGAAGCACAAAAGATCTATTCAAAAAAAATTACGAAACATTATTACAAGAAACAAAGAGACCTGGAGAAGTGGAAAAATATCCCTTGCTCATGGATAGGAAGACTCAATATTGTGAAAATGGCGATACTACCAAAGGCAATTTACACATTCAATACAACCCCACTACAAATACCAATCCCATTCTTCAACGAGATGGGAAAGGTAATTTCTGGCTTCATTTGGAATGGAAAGAAGCCCCAAATAAGCAAAGCGCTCCTTAAAAATAGGGAAAAGGTAGGAGCCATCTCACTCCCTGATTTCAAATTCTACTACACTGCTGTCTGTGATAGTTAAGGCAGCACAGTGCTCATACAATGACAGACACATAGATCAATGGAATAGAATTGAGAACCCAGAATTCAGCCCATCCACCTATGATCAACTCATTTTTGACAAGGAGATGAAATCAATTAATTGGGGAAATGACAGCCTTTTTAACAAATGGTGTTGGCAAAATTGGAAAACTATCTGCAGAATACTTAAGCAAGATCAACACCTCACTCCATATAAAAAAACCAACTCAAGGTGGATCATGGATCTAGAACTAAATCTAAGGACTATACACTTCATTAAAGAAAAGTTGGAATAACTTTAGTAGTCCTAATCCACAACATAAACAGTCTTCCAAGCAGAAGAAGATAAAATAGATGAATGGGACCTTCTAAGAATCAAAGCCCTATGTACATCCATCCAAAAACTTCTCCAAAAGTGTAAAAAGGGAAGCCACAGACCGGGAAAAAGCATTTGGTAATGATATCAGATAAGGGACTTATATCTAGAATTTATAAAATACTTGAGTACCACAGCAAGATAATGGTAAAAAATACAATCGAAAAATGGGCGCAGTATATGAACAGACACTTCACCAAAGAAGACATTCAGATGGCCAAGAAGCACATGAAGAAATGTTCAAAATCCCTAGCTCTAAGAGAGATGCAAACAAAGACAACTATAAGATATCATCTCACCCCAGTAAGAGTAACAAAATTTAACAGAACAGCAGAAGGATTCTGATGGCAATTCTCCCAGGATATATTTGTTCCTCTGGCAATTCATAGTATATTCTCAATGCTTCTTCAACACCATTATTCGAGGACATCGATTTTACAGTGTTTCTTATTAATTGGTATTTCTTTTTATTTTCTATAATTATATTTTATTAATTTTCATAAAC